ATTTCATCAAGGAAAATCAGAAAAAAAATTTTTTCAAATGAAATTAATTTTATGTTCTTTGGCCAATAACCACATTCCACTTCAAGGAGGGCTGCTCAACTGTATAGACTAGAGATGCCAGCGGAAGCCAGAGAGCAGCCAACAAGGCCCTTGAGATGTGGGCCTGAGATGGCGCCACCCATAATCTTAACCTACAGAAACTTTCAGATCAAAGGGTGGGGGCTTTAGGCAGATCACATTGGGAGCCTGATGGTGGGACAGTTGAGAGAAATCTGATTTACCGATTTGCCTGAGAAGACAAGTTTATTTTGAAACTTGGAATGAGCGATCACAAACTCCATCAACAAGACTGCTTTGAAAGTCTATCCAAAACCATGCAAAAATAAGCAAAGGGAAAATTCTTGGAAACATTCTAGAAAATGAATGACCTGCCCACACCTTCTCAAGTATTTCTCCCCTAGATCATATCGCCCTGACAGAAATGAATAGGGCTGACAGGCACCTGAGCCTTTGGCCACCAGGGAGTGGTTTGGAGAGAGTTTTAGAATGAAACTCACTGATTTTGTGATGTCATTCACGTGGTACCATATGAAGATGCAAAGCCACTCTAGAGACCTCAGTCCCCGTCAAGCAAAGGTTCCTCAGGACTGCGAGCAGGGGTGAGGCTGAGGAATGGCTTCAGGAAGCAGCCGAGGAAGGAGGAAGGCAGGCCTGGAGATGCCCTGAGCTAGATGGGGTCCTTAGCTTTGGAGAACACCCAGGATTGTTGCAAATTGGTGCCATATTCTCAAACTCTTGGAGATGGAGAGGTTGCATGTTTCTTATTTTTTAAAAGGTTTGTAATTATTGTGATTACTACTATTATAATCATCTTAATCATGGATTTATTATTATTACAATTATTACTATTATTATCTTAATTGTGTGTGTTTTTCTTTCTATATGGCTTTGTATATGGGAGAGTGGGTGCCCAAGGAAGTCAGTGGCATAAGATACCCTGAAGCTGGAGTTACAGGTGGAGGGAGGGAGGGAGGAAGGAAGGAAGAGAGGGAGAGAGGAAGGTAGGGAGGGAGAGAAGGAAGGAAGAGAGGGAGAGAGGAAGGGAGGGAGGGAGGGAGAATGGGAGGGAGGGAAGGAGGGACAGAGGGAGGGAAAATTAGCTCACTTGTATTTAGGATATTAAATCCCTTTCTGGATTTTTACCATTGACATACTACCAAATCTATCTATCTAAATAATATGAAACATACAGACACACATGTACACATACCACCAGCACCAGCACCAGCACCAGCACCAGCACCAGCACCAGCACCAGCAGCAATTCATGTCAAATCTCTTGCCAAATCCTGTGTTTCTCTATAAAACAGTCTTAATTAGTCATAAGCTAAGTGTTAGGACACAACTCTCCCAGCTCCAGCCCTTCAATAAGAAAATGTCTCCCTGCAGGTTGGTGACCCAGTCCCACTCCTGCTTTTTTATTTCACCACCCCATCCAGCCACCATCCTTCCCTTTACACTGCAGTCATCCTGCAGCCCAGCCTTCCCCACAGAGTGCTGGACATGTACAGACACATTCTCATTTACGGGGACAAAAGGCTTGGGGAGGGGAGGAGGAGATGTCCAGTGATGATACAAAACACCACAGACTGTGACAGTCAACACAAAATTATTCCTCACAGTCTAAGACCAAGGTGCTGGTAGCTGCTGAGGGTGGCAGGGGCTTCATTCCCCACAGAGGGCTCTTCTTTCTGCATTTGCATGCACTGGAGGACACATTCCCCAGTCTCTTTCACAAGAGTACAACACTCACGAGGGCTCTATTCTCATGACCTTGCCACCCCATGGCCCCACCTCCTACATCATCTTGGGGGTAGAATTTCCATAGAGGGATTTCAGGGAACTACAAACAGCCCATTTTCCTATCTTCTGCCATTCCTGAATAACTGAAGCCTGCTCAGATCCACAGCTGAACCTAAGTATGGCCTCCTTTAGAGGTAGTAATAACCCAAATGAAATGTATTCCTAAGCTGGGTTCAGTCATCCTCTCTCTGCACTTTACTCAAGATAGTTATTTTCTACCTTGTACTAGAATTTTCCATGTTTGAAGCTAACTCCCTCCCTAGAGCATAAACTCTTAAAAGGAAAGACACCCAGCCTACATGTGTACATTTGCCTTTCCTTTGTAAAATTACATTTATTATTTATTTTGTGTGCACGTGGAATGTGCGCCACAGCAAGTGGAACTCAAAGGAAAAACTGTGGGAGTCAGTTTTATCCTTCTGACATGGGGGTTCAGGGAATTGAACTCAGGTCATCCAGCTTGGCAGCAACCACCTTTACCTGCTGGGCCATCTTGTTGCGTCCTGAACTTATTTTTCACCCTTGAAATCCACCATAGTTGCTGCGTCATGAAAACATGAATGCATATGGTCTGTGGTATTAATAATTCCTGCTTCTAACTAAGTGAAAAACTTTACAAATTAGTTCAAAAATAGTCATTGACTGTGTTAGAGAAATCAGATCCAGGGGAACAAAAATGGTCCCTATGCCGACATACCTAACGCCTGTCATTGAGTTCCCTCTGACACTTTGACTTTATGGGCTATCTGGAACTCTGTTAGCAGAAAACTCTTTTGCTAAAAGTGTATCAGGTGACACCGATGATCCAAATATCCTCTTGTTTGCTTGCTGGGAAAGCGATAGAACCAGGAGGAACAGACAAGGGAGTCAGAACCCAACTGGAAATTCACTTGGTGACTTCTGCTAGAAGTGCATACATGCTAACTTTTAATCACGGGCCACATTTGGGGAGTGATGGAATCCCGGCAGACTGTAGCAATGCTGCCACCGTCGCCTGCAGGCCACAAGCTCAAGCATTTAGCGAGCCACCCTACAGCGCATACACGGCCACGAGGGACTGCGCAAGCAGGAAGGCAAACTCTTCTAGGGCTGTCTCTGCATGAGCACAAGCCTGACTTACAAACACCAGCTGCTAAGTGCTGTGGATGTCTGTCGCTCTGTATGCTGAAAATATGTTGCTCTAATTGGTTGATAAATAAAGGTGTTTGGCCAATGGTGAGGCAGAACAGGGTTAGGCGGGACATTCTAACTAGAGAAGAGGAAGGAGAAAGGGAGAACGGAGAGACGCTGCCAGCTACCGCCACGAGAAGCAAGATGTAAATTACCAGGAAGCCATGAGCCATGTGGCAAAGTATAGATTTATAGAAGTGGGTTAATTTAAGATGTAAGATCTAGCTAACAAGAAGCCTGAGCCATTAGGCCATACAGTTTTAATTAGTATAAGCCTCTGTGTGTTTATTTGGATCTGAGTGGCTGCGGGTCCAGGCGGGGCTGGAGGAAACTCCAGCTACAGCGAAGTGCTCTTATGCTCACAAGTGTGCCACTCTTGTCACTAGCCCGTCTTGCAATCAAGAGAGCCAGGCAAATATCATGACAGCCTGTCCCTAATAATGCAGTTAAAAACTAAGCCTTAATTCCTGCCTCTTGAAAGTGAACAGAGAGTTTCTGAGGAAGCCACAAACAATCAGTCTTCAATGCCCCTGACAGCGGGGACAAGGGGGATAGCTGGGCCGCTGAGCCAGCCCCCACAGTCAGTGTGTACTAGGCCAGTCACCCTCTACAGTCACTATCTCACGGTAATAGCCAAACAAGGACAAAGCCTGGGACTTGTCCAGGCCAGCCCCCAAATGGAAAAGCAGTAGCCTTAATCAGTCCTTGACTAGCCCTAGCCAATCAGAATGCACTAATATGATTGCCACTTGATTAAGCCAATCAAATCTGAGATGGTCTAACTACCCTAGGAACTCCCTTTAGTTGTGCTTAAAAGGAGCCCACACGTTCCCATAGGGGTCGTTGCCGTTTTGCCTTTGTGTAGCCTTTGCCTTTGTGATGGACAGCCCCAGCATGCTGGTATAATAAACGCTCTTGTTGATTGTATACATGGATGGTGCTCTTTTCTCCAGGGCTCTACCACAATGAGGATGATGGCTGTTCCTGTCCCCAACATACCACAGCTTCAGAAACAAAACCACAGCCCAGGCTATTCTATACAGAAACTCTTACTTAAAGAACCATCAAAAATTGAATCCACTGCAAATAAAGATGAAGTGAAAAGGGCTTTAGAGTTCAAAGAAAATTATTTTGCTAGAATGTTCTTTTTTGGGGAGTGGGGTGGGGGGACCTAGAAATAGACAAATTCATTTTCTGATCTAAATATTTAAGGGCCATCTAAAGAAAAGAAACTATGCTGTGTCTGAGAGAAAAGCACGCAGAACATAAACAGGTGTCTGTACATCTTTGGAGGACAAGGAACAGGCTAGAGAGCACTGGTGTGGTGAGTCATTTCTGTGTGGGACATGGAGCACACTGACAGGAACAGCTTGCAAACCTTATATTCCCAGGTCCTTCATAAAATCCAGGGGCCTGGCTGGCCAACGTCAGCAATTACTTTTTCCCAGGGAGCGTATGCTTATTTGAGAGGGAAGGCATTTTTATGGTATGTTTCATCAGGAAGTGTGAACTAACACAGTTATCCATCCCTGTACAGAGGGACTAAAGTCAACCTGGAGAATCAGCTATGACTTCAGAGGTGTTATGTCAAGGAAAATGCTCTCAGAAAACATGAGGTGGGATTAAATTCATAAGACCTAAGTGACTGTGCACACAGATACCAGGGAATTCAAGCAGAACACTTAAGTAAGTAACAGAGGATTTTAAATCAATGGGGAAGAGACATAAGTGTTCCCTCAAGGTCAGAGACTCAGTTATTACAAACCGAGTGTGGAGTTTCTAGTTTTTATATAGTAATTTCCAAGAAAATGCCAGAACGGACAGGACAGGCATGCTACAGACTTGGAACCAGCTCCTGCTGGGTGGCTGGTTTGTGTTCCCTGTCTTTAATCTCATGTGATGCACAACTGGCCTCACAGGAGGTGGAGTTCCTTGCTGGTGGTTGACATCATGAAAGTATCACCTACCGTGTTCCAGCACTTTCATGGGAAGCCAGAAGAGGATGAGGGAGTGGACCAAGGCATTGATGCAGTGACCCCAGAAAACCTGTAGGAAGACAAACCAGGGGATCAGAGCATTCAAGGCTCGAATCTCTGTGTGTAGCTTGCAACAGATGAGGTGTTGTGAAGGCTGCTGGCCACTTCTGCAGGGGGCATTGTTAGTCTCAAACTGAAAAGAAATACCGAGTGAAAACAAAACCAAACAAAAGCTGTTCCCTCCTATTTACAGGCAGATGGCAGGATAATCTCCAGATTATTATTTCAGTACAAAACCTGCGTGGAGCTGGCACACAATCCAGCTCAGAGCTGAAAACTGAGCTTCAGTGTGTGAGTATCCCCCATCGTAAGAGGACACTTCACAACCACTCAGAAAAGGCGACATAGGTTAAAATTGGGTAGTAAAAAACCGAAAACGTTGTTCATTTTCAAAACATTAAAATCCATCTGAATGCCAAGCACATGTAAAAGTTAGAACTGGCCATGCATGCCCATGAACCTGGCACTGGGTGGTAGGTAGAGACAGGCAGATGAGAGCTCTCTGGACAGGAGGCCTACCCAAAAGACCCTGTCTCAAAAAATAAGGTGGGGAATGACAGATGGAGATACCCAATATTTTCCTTTAGTCTCTGCATGCGCCTGCATCTGTGTGCCCGCCCCCATGTGTGCACATGCATATACCTCACACACAAAGTTCAAACCAGTAAATAAGCTTGCAGCCAGCCTAACAAGGGCTTCATGAAAGTCAATGGCTGGTTTTAATGGAAAGGGGCATGAGATGGTGCTGCCCACAGCAAACCAGAGCTGTGAAGAGAAGGAAGGAGAGGCTGGCTGGACTGAGGGAACTGTCTCTGGATCACAGGGCTGGGTATGAAGGGGTTATGTCAATGCCCTCTGTCAAGTACCACTGATCTCCCGGAAGAGTAATCAGAGCTCAAACAGAGCTGCAAGAGAAGCAGGGCTGTGCCTTTCATACATGAGAGCTGTTTTATCACATCACTTACCTTAGTGTTGAAGCCTTCTGCATTCTGGGTGATTTTGTAGAGCTGTGGAAACCTCAGCATGCTCTCCTGAGTGCAAGACCTCTCAAAGATTCCCAGAGTGAAGGGCGGCAACGCGGTGAAGATCTGTGTGGAGACGATAAGGCGTTAAACACAGCCCTCCGGCTGCACCCTGTGCCGGGGTTTCGGCTCTGTGAATGATGACTTCTAGTCAAGTCCAAGCCCGAGACTCCATGATTCACAACTCCCCACACATCCTCCAAACAGAACAAAAGAAAAAAAAAGTCACCATTTTCTTTCTACTGTTAATTTGTGTAAATGAATCCATGGAATGCTAAAAACATAAATTCCTGTTGAGCTAAGAACTCAGTGGTGAGGAGCTGCCTTCCTGTGTAGAACCAGCAACCACGGCGCTCACACTATGGTCAGCTCCAGGAAGAGGATCACACAACAGTTTGGTCCAGGAAGCAGCATGTTTTCTGTCAGTGTTGGCTGCAGGAGTTGTACAGCCTTCTCTCCCGATTCTCTCCTCACAGTTTAGGAGGCACAGGTACTCCATGTATTCACTCGACAGTCACTTACTGTGAATGAGATGGGGGCAGACAATGTGTGGGGCACTGAGAATTCAGACATTTTTTTCAGAGAGGAAGAGAGGCCAGGAAGTTTCTAAGACCCTGTGTCTCCTGCAGAGGAGGTAACTCATGACAACAGGGTGGCAATGATACAAACGTGTGAAGCATGGGGGTTCAGTGTGGTTGCTCAGCCAGAACGTTACGGTGCCATTGTGAAGAAAAGACTCAGCGCACCAGAGTATGGCACTTGCAAGGCATGGGACCTGCAGGGTTTGGCAAGATGATGCTCAATGCGGATGCTGGCCCCTCCTTTGAGAAGAACACCCTTCTGAAACTCTCAGGCATTGACAACATGTTTTGGGGAAACCTGTAGCATTCGAAGAATGTGGCTGGCTGAGGACACAGGACAAAGGTGAAAGAAGACCACGGAAACACTGGGACACTAAGTCTTGGGGAGATAGAGCCTCCGAGGTACCAACTTTCACAGGTTCTCCTCAGGAGTCAGAGGTGACCCTGTTTCTATGTTGCAAAATAGAGCCAGATGCTGAAGAGGGGCTTGGAAGGAGGACTGTGCCACTTCCGTCTGGGGCATGTGGTCACTCTCTCACTTGGCTCTGGCAAGTTCAAAGAGACTGGCTCATAATTTATCCTCTGTTTTGATGGAATCTATACCCATAAACCCAGGCAGCTCGGCAGCCGTGGAAGCCAAAAAGCCTCTCTAAGAAAATCTCAAGTGCACACCAGTTCTCTGGAGACTGAGAGTCTGACCAGCAAAGCACACCTTTCCCAAGGCTGCTGGGGGCAGACAGGTGATCGAGGCCAGTGACTCTCCTGAGCGCGATGGCTTTGGCCTGGGGCTGATGGAAAGTAGCCCAGAGATTGTAACAAGCTACAAGGAGCTTAAGCACTGTTTCTGTCCCCTGCAGCAACAGAAGCTGCGTGTTTCATGGCCAGCAGAAGGCATGGCCAAGGACGGTCTCAGCAGCTCTGCACATATTTGGGTTCATCTTTCACCCGCCATTGTTCTGCATCGGCACACACACCATGCATGTGCCAGCACAAACTGTGCTAGCTTTTTTCTTTTTCTCTTTGAGTCTCTCCTCATTCCACACCAAGCCTCTCCATCCCTCATTACTGGCGGACAGCCCAGGAAGCTCTACCATATTTTTATCCTGTTTGAAGCATACTGCACTCACCTATGCGGCCTGGTTGGGGACAATTTTTTTTTTTTTTTTAACAAAATGGAGACATCACACACATTTTTCTTCATCACGATCTTCCTGTTAAACAGTACATCACAGAAAGCAATTCGAGCCCCTGGGATTTAACACTACTGCAGTCTGTTTAGTGCTCTTTAGTGTTTACATAATAATTTACAGCAGGGGTGTGCCATAATTTGAGTTATTAATCCATCGGTAGGCATTCATTTTGATTCCAGTTTTTTCTTTTTTTTTTTTTTTTTTTGTTACCACAGACATGTGACAAACGTTTATTATATGGTCCCATATATGCTTTGCTTTTATTTCATGGGAGGAAGAGCTGCTGGGTAGAGAAGGAAACATGTAGTTTTAATTTTATAAGATGTTGCCTGCTTGTATTCTAAAGAGTTCCAACCTTTTATGTCTCCCTTTGCAAAGAACAAGAGTGACCTTTCGCCAGCTTCCCTATGGGCAGGGGTTATACTCTACGTTTATTATTCTCTTGTCTGAAAAAGTCAAGATATTAACTCTTACTTTAAAATTTTTACATTTCCCTGTCTACCAGTGAGTCTGCATGTGTTGACCATCTGGGCCTGCCACTTCCAACATTTAGCTAGGTCCTTTCTCTCTCTCCACCCATGGTTATCTGAATCGGTGAGTCCTGCAAGCCCCCAGCTGGGTCTTCAAGTTGTGTTCATTGTTTATAGGCTTCTTTTCTTCCCAACATGCTTCTTTGGCAACCTAAAAGCTTTGAAGTTTTAAGTGGTCAAAAAAGAGTTTTTGGAGTGTCCACTTGTGGACAGTTTTCCCACCCTGGAGTTTATGTGCAGTTTTTAGGAGCATGCTAGGGGAGTCTCATGGTTTTATTTTTCCCACTTAAGTCTTTAATATATTTGGAATTTATTTTTCTATGAGGTATAAGCTCAGAATTCATTTTTTCCCAGATAATGGACCAGATGTAAAAACACAATTAATCGACACTTTCCCACAAAGTTGAAAAAAAAAAAACCACCATGAAGGTTTATTAGACTCTGATGTACTGTTGTTCTAGACTCTGGAGGTGGAACCCAATTCTAGGCTCTCTGACTCTGAGTCAGTCAGAAGCACACAGTTCTTGCTGGTGCTTTTGGGGCTAGTCTGACAGCCAAGACCACCGTCTTTTCTGAACATGTGTTGCACACCTATGTTCAAGTCTTCCTCCTTTCCACTTACACTTTCTATTGTGTTACCCAGCTTCTCTTGCACCCCTCAGACCTGCTCACATCATGTAAATGTACACATGAGCTCATGGACTGAGGCCTTTGTCATGACTTTTACATTTTCCTGTGCAAGAAGACAATACACATTCTATTTACACCCTGGTTTTAGGTCTTTATTTCTTTGTCCTTTTTCAGTGGTACTGGGGACTGTGCACAGTAGGCATGGACCCTGTCACTGAGCTATATCCCCAATCCTACTTTTACTTTACTGTTGAATTCTGAGACAGGCCTTGCTAAGTGGCCTGGGCCAGCCTTGAACTCACTTCACGGCCGAGCCGAGTGTGAAGTCTAAGATCCTCTGGCCTCAGCCTTCGAAAGGACAGGATCACAGGAGGTGCTCTGAGGCCCAGGTGACTTAATCTTTCATTAAGACAGTGGGCCATTTCATATGGATACCATCAAATTGCAACTATGTAATTTATTATTTTAAAATACATGAGGGACAGAATCATACTATGCTACCTGGCTAGTCCCCAGGTCTTGAGGACAAATGATTCTCCCTGCCTCAGTCTCTCAAGTAGCTGGGACTCAGGCATGTGCTGCTCTGGCAGCAATGTATATGTTGAGTTGTTTTCTGAAAGGAGTTCTTAGTTCTTATTTTTGCAGTTTTTAGGAGCCCATTGAAATAGAATAGACTTAGATTTAGAATTCAGAAATAGCCTATAGACTTAGAAATAGAATTATTGATTACTAGGACAGAAAAAAAGTCTTATCTGGCTCTTTTAGAATTCTTTCATATTTCTAGTATTTTTGGGTTGGTTTCTTCTGGGTTTTCAGGATAAACAATCATGTATGAGCATATATAGTCGACCATTGTTTCATTTCCACGAGTACTTGTATAAGCATTGAAACTGCCCATGATTTCCCCAATATTTGTAACAGCTGTTTAACTTTTTTGGTGGTTGCCAGAAACTCTAGGATGATGCTGAACTCCACAGTGATGATGGCTTGTTCCCCTGCAGTAATGGCTGGTCCACCAACCCGGAGTTTGCCATGGACGGCAGCGTGTGCA